CTTTCATCCCCCTCCCCTGATCAAGTCAAGTCCTTCTGAATTTGAATACTTCCTTTGAGTACAGAAACCACAGGTTTACATTAATAAGAGACTTGTAGAATTTGGTTCAAATCTTCCAGAAACTCTGAGATAGGGGTGTGCTTGGAAGGAAGCTTCACCTAAAAACCATTGTGCTGTGTTCCTTCTGCTCACTATGAATGTCACTCCGGCAAAAATAGCCAATCAGAGCCTTCCGCCGAACTGCCACTCAGATGGGAGGGTTTTTCCAGTTTCCAGGCTCCGGTGATCACTTGTGGAATTCAGAAGTTCGGCCCAATTCGGCTGCACTGTGGGCTCCATGTGCAGAGAGCATGGCTGAGCTCTGCAGCCAGGCCATGGTGAGATATGGGCAGCTGTCGTCGGAGAAGGAAAAGTGGCAGGCCGTGGTGAGTGATGCGCCACTGTCCCCAGAAGGTGGAGCAGCTGGCTGAAATACCGGAACTCATGTGCTGGGTCCTCCCTTTTTGGATTGGAACTAGTGGGCAATTGCTGAGTTCAGCGTGTTTCTGCTTGGTTCTCCATGGTATCTATGTGATCCTTGTAATTCCCTGCACTAAAACAGCAGTCTCTGAATAATTTAACTCTGTGTATCCACGGAGAGCACTGGGAGAGGGATCGTGTTTAGAAAAGCCCTTCTTGTTGAGTTTACTGTGCAATGCTGGTGTCTGTAGTGCTTGTATTGTACTATGGAACGAAGATTTGCCAAAGTAAGAGAAGCCAGGTCTCTCTTGTCTCTTCCAGAATTTCTGCACTAGTAAAATTGAACATTTAGCTTTATGATCCATCTGGCTTTGATTGTTGTGATTGTTTGGAGTATGTAAATGATACCCCCTGTGAACAGTAGCTTTCTATTGTTAAACAATTACAGAAGATTAGAATTGTGGGTGACAGAATTGATCCTATATCAGGATCTACCAAATCTTAAAGAGGCATTAAGTCACATAAAGTAGAATTTAGCTAAGGGAGTAAGTACTGCCTCCAAAATACACTAAAGATAAGTAGTATGAAAACCATGCCTGTTAGAGATTATTAAGATAAAACGTAAATATCCCCTATAGAGCTTTTATCTGGCAACCAATGGAGGCAGAGGCAGAGACCCACATCGGAGCTGTGGACTTAGCACCCAAAGTCCTTTTGAAGAGGGAAAGGAATGAGAATATGAACAACAAGGTCAAGACCCTGATGGGTCCACCCACTAAAACATCTTGCAGGAGCTGATGGGAGCTCACCAACTCCAGAGGAACAGGGAAGGAGGACACAGAGCACGAAACTGGTCCCTCTGAATGCGGTTGACAGTTGCTAGGGCAGACTGAGGAGCCACTGGCAGTGACACCAGGACTTATCTCTGCTTATGTATTGGATTTTGGGGATCCTATGGACTTGGGATGTATACCTTGCTCAGGCAATATTCAGGGAAGGCTTGGAACTTTCCACTAGGCAATATGCCTTAGCCTCTCTGAGGATTAGATAGAGGTTGGGTGGGCGGGTGCATAGAGGGAATGGGAGGAGTGGAGTGAATAGTAACTTGGATCAGTTATTTTTGAATCTAGTAAATTTAAAAATTAAGAACTGTAAATGATTGTTCACCAGCAATAATCAGCCATTAATCTACATTCCCATAAGAAAAGAAAAAAAATTTCTTAAGTGGACCAAAGCCATCCCTTGTCCATACCAAAGATCAGGCTTCCAGTATGCTGTCAACGGGCCATTATATGGTCACAATCATCATTAAGTTCCAATGTGCCGTAAAATATATTAATTCTTAAACCACTTCATGTTAACCCTATTTGAAAAGCAGTTATGTGTTAAGGTCTTCAGTGTTCACTAAGATAGATTTGAACCCTGTTGTAGACCCACAGGGCATTGTCCTTGCTAGACCCCTAACTAACCATCCTAAATTTTGGGATTACACCATTGCCACACCACAGAGTTCTCAAATTACCAGTTGAATCACATCGTGGGCTGTCCATTGCAGAAACAAAAAAAAAGAGGATTTGCATGTGGAGTGTGACTCTCCCTTCAGACCAGAAGAGGAAGGGCAGTGTCCTGTGTACACGGCACTGAAGAACAGACTAGGCAATACCTAGATCACAGAGCTCTAGATCATAGAGAAGGTCATGATGGGGCATGGCAAGTGACTGTCTGTGTAATTTCACAGCATGGATTAAATCCTTCCATGTGAATCATGACAGATATTATTGATGGGCTTACAATATTGGGATAGTACCTTTAA